TTAAAAAGCACCCTTGTATTTTCCTCCACGTTATTGGATTTATAGTTCAAAAGGGAGAAGTAGGCCTGGAGAGCTCACCAAATTCAATGCCATTTTCTTCATTTTACAGCTTTGGTAACCTTTTTATTCCAGCAGGGATTACAAGGAACAAAAAAATCCACAGTCCAGAAAATACAAACATAACATTTGAAATGTATCAAAGATGACACCAGGTGCGTAGCTGACAAAGATGCTTTATATATCCTTGCCACTTTGCTACGCCAGCCTGCCCATAGTTTACCTTTCCTGGTGTCATTTGATCCTCATCTATGATAACCTACTTGTTGTTGTTAGGTTAAGTATAAAAAGAACCTGACAGGTTATTCTTGATAAGAAGCCACCATCTTTAGAGCCAGTTTCCATTTATCCGAATCCTAGCCATGCACCATTATCCAACACAGAGCTATCAATAACACTTAGTGCTTCAGACCCTTCCTCATGATTTATCCATTTTTACAAATTATTATTTTGTGATACTGAACGGCCCTCTAGGCTACTCTCCTTAATTCCTTCTGTTTCCTCTCTAAATGTCTTCAAATGTCGCTTTATTTCTAGCAATTATTTATAGACATCTCTCGTGCTTGGTTTGGGGCTCCTTGGCTGGAATGCAATGTATTCAGGCTATTGTGCATCATGGAAAACAAGTTACTTTTTTAAAATGCAATTCTCAAGCAATTTGCCCAACCATTGCAGTTAAAATTTTACCCCATTGGGCTTGCAGCATATTGTTATAAGTCATATAATGTCAAATGTGTTTAAAATAATTTCTGTTAAATGCCTCCAGCAAGTGAAATGAGATGGCTGCCAAGTTCATTTAACCAGGCTTCACTTTCCAGCCTTTAAAGAGAGAGAGACATCCTAGTGTTTCTACCTGCCTAGATAATCCATAAGATTACAGTCGCTCTCATTAATGTAGTAAGGTAAATCTGCACCAGCACACTGAGCCTAAACCCTAGAGTTGGCAGCTGGATAGATCGGAGATCCACAATAAACTGGGTCATAACTGAGAAAAAATACCCATGAGAAATCAGCAGTAGAGCTAACACAAAACCCATTACAGTCAGTAGAAAAATTGCAATAGGTGTCAATGAATCAGGCTCAACTATTCTTTTCCTGGTATACGTATGCTGACTTCAGTCTCCTATAGAAATGAGAGACTTTATAAATACAAAATATGCAAACTATTTCTCTCCTGGTTTTGTTTTGTTTTTAAATCAATAGCCTCCAAGTTTGCAGTCTGTCCAGGAAAAACCTCCTAATAGAAATCTGAAAACATCTACGGCCACTTTAAGCATACACTTGAGTGTACTTTTGTTAGAATTTGACTCTAGGCTATTTCCAGGAATATGACAATTTTTCATGAAAACAGCTAATTAACTGTAATTAACTATAGCATGAACTTTTTCAAGGAAAGATATATCATGAAAGAAATATGCTACTAAGTCACCTACTGTTCACATATTTTTATCATTAATTATAAGCTGTGGCAAGCCCTAGCTTGAAATTCAGATGAATATTCACGTAACGCCTGTACAAGTTTCTATTCTCAGTAATTATGGCCAGGTATTTGCCTCTCTAGTAAAGCGATGACACTCAAATTGTAGATGTCCAAATAACCAGTGGTGTTTACTGCGAGTTCAAAAATCACACACCAAAAAACAGAAGGTGAATGACCTTAGGAAGACAGAAAATGTATTAAAACACCACCAAAACAGATCCTCACCAGGACTGTGCACAAAAGATTCTTTAATTATTCATAGATTAAATAAATACAAAAACTACATTTTATCTCCATGTTTTGTTTTCTTCTACTCGTACTTATCTCCAATGGCAGAGAAAGAGGGTCCTTTAAAAGGGGCTTGTCACAACATTTCACTATAACTTCTGTGTCTTTCCCTACCCTAATTAAGGAAATAAACCTTCAAATCATTAAGGAAAAAAGTAATTTTGGAAAACAATAAAAAGCTGGAACATGTGTTTTATAGCAACATCAGGGAAGTCCAATTCACTTGAATATTAAAACTAGGAGTTATATATTTAAATTTGTTAATTCCCTCCAAGATTTATTTGTTAGTAAATCTCTGCTATTTCTGATGAATAATAGATAACATGTAAGTGCGATTTTAGAATCAATAAATAAGTGGAAAGTCACTAGAAAATTCCATTGGGTTTGTGGCTACTAAAATTATGGCCTCACAGGAAAATGCACAGGAACCCATCAATGAATAATTTAAAGTGAGATAATAATATCATCTGAATCCCTTAACAGGGCCTCAAAATCCTTCGGGCAAGTTTCACAGTCCAGTATATCTGCACCTTTCTCTACATAATTATATATCTCTCGTCACTGAATTATTGGAACCCACGGACATTTACACTTTGACCCAGTGATCATGAAGACAAATCCAAGATACCTATATGAGCATTTTTTATTTTTCAGCAGAAGAATATTTCAGTGAATGGGTTTGATTCAGAGCTTCAATGAAGGTGAAGGTGGCCATAGTAGGAAATAAGGTTATGCAAATAATGCAAAGCCTTTCTTTTGGAACTTCAAAAAAGAAATACAATATAATTTTAATACAAAAGGAATCAGGACTCACACATGCAAACATACACACAAAGATTTCTACCAAGCTGTGCAGGGCAGCTATTGATTGGGAGCAGCAGGACAGCAGAACCTGATGAATAATTTTAAGATATATGCCATAAAATTTGAACAACTATGGAAAACAGATGTAAACAACATGAAATCTTGGTTGACTGAACGCTATCTGCATAAAGAACTATGACAGATTCTAGCTAACACCGATTCTACGGGTTCACTTTTGCACAAAATAATTTTGCAAGTATTGGTGTTCTTGACACCAGGAAAATGAGGTTATAAAGTTTAATGGGATGAATACCTGTGGGACAGAGGGGGAGGATAAGAAAAAGATAAAATTGAGAAAAATTATTCAGACTTTGACTAACAGATAAGACAATCAAAATGCCAAATGCTACATGGATAAATACCAAAGTGCAGCAAGAGAAAATGGATGAAAACTATTACCGAAGAATTAACTGGAAGTTGGACTGAGAAACATCTCTAACTGAATCAGAAGCATAAACTTAAATATAAGGAGTGAAAAAAAAAAAGAAATGCAAGGGTAGTTTATAGATGAGCAAAAACAGGGAACTGCCAGTTAAAAAAAATCTTAGCAGAGGAAAGAAACTTGGTATAGAGTTTGAGTAAAAGAAGAACACGTAGCAGCTAACAGTTAAATCTCGTCCCATATCCTGGAATTAACAAAGCTAAACATTAGAGCAAATATTGTTTGGGAAGGACATGTGGTATATAAGATGCATAAACTCCTCCTTTGACGGAGAGAGATGAGGCCACCAAAAGACTTGCAGCAACTCACAGCTCATATCCAGAGCTCATTCACTATCAGCAGGATTAAACCTTAAAGACTGCAGAGCTTGAGCTGTTTGGCACCCTTTTCTTTTACTGAAATGCTGGATTCAGGGACTGTGAATCTACTAAAACTGCACCATCCTACCCAGCGGTCTAGGAATGTGTACCTAAATGGGTATGACAAGATGTTGTAGTTTCAATGAAAATGTAATAAAATTGGTCGCTTGATCCAATTAAATAGTCATTCTCTGCTACATACTGTCGACTGATTGTCCAAAGGAATCTCCGACATTTATCTGAACGCTCTTTTTAATCTGATGAAGGAGCAGCTCAGAATAGTTTTCATACCTACAGCTTTTCAAACAATGTCAACTATATGTGAAAATACAAAACTCACTAAAAAGGTTATATGATTTCTAGAAAGTACATAAATAATAAAATAAGGACAAAGAATAACTTCTAGTCCTATCAATATGTAATGCAAAGCAGTGAAAGGTAAGGTCTATTCTTCTTCAGAGTAAACAAAGCACGCCACCACATTAAGCTTCAATGAATACTAAATACTCATAAAATATACTTGATTCCAGTTTTTATTTCAAAATATTTCAGTATCCCTATACAGACGAAACCTTCTATCTGTACCCACAGCTTCAACTGTATAAGGATAAGGCTTTGTGTTCAAAGATGTATAGAAAGACATACAAATACATAACCCACAACTCTGATCTTAATTAAATCACTGTCATTCCACAGATTTTAATGGGAGCTTCTACTGGTTTAGATTTCTTTCACCAAGATCCAGGTTAACTCTGTAACATAATCTGATCATACAATTACCACTTACAAATGCAGTGGAGATACCTCCCAAGTGGAATGCAACAGCTGTTTAATAACTCACAACAAAATTGTACAACAGCTGAGGACAACAGTTGAAAAAAAAACCTAATCCAGCCTTCATCTGAAGGAAGAGTTTAGCTAGGATGGTTTGTACCCAAATTGAAATTTGGAATAGTATCTTACTCTTATAGAATTTAATTATTAGGTAAAATCAACAGTGAATTTAATCAGAACATTTTCATCAATAAATTTAATTCTCCAAGTGTGTTTTTATTTTGTTGCAACCGCTGTATCTGCATTTACACAAGTAACATTGTTCACTATTTCAATCTGCATATTCATAATGCACTTTCCACTTATTCCTATCATTTATCTAGCCTTATGCCATATAAACAAATAAAAAAGCCCTTCCAGCAGCTAACCTTAGAGAAAAAAATTCTCACTCTGAACAGAAATTGTACATGTTATTTGGTCTGAATCCTACTTGTATTCTAGGAGCTGTCTTCATTGATTCCAGATATGGACAAAAACATATAAACCCAAATTGAAGCTTTCTTTCCAAACTATATTATTTTTGTCCTAGAAAGCTGCTCCCACCTCTTTATGTAGAGGAAGCATTCAGTGAGCCACAAAATCAGCAAGAAAAGTTAAACAATATGATAACAACACATTCATCAACACAGAATTTGCTCAGGTGTTATTTATAGAGATATGACTGGCATGGACTTACCTGTAGGGGATCCCTCCATGACACGTCCAACGTAGGGTCCTTCTTTGAACATTGGCCTGTTATCATTTTGATCAATAACAGAAATATCTAGGCGGACTGGACCATCAATGGTTTTCCCACTTATATCTGTGACCTCAACTTCAAGCTGTATGAACAAAAAGAGAGGAGTAAATTCATTAGTTCACTATCACAGTGAGGAGAGAGAAAAATACAGCTCAGATCAGGGCTGCTGTAACCAGACCCTGCCAAGGATACCACTTGCAGCCCATTCTTTTGGACTAGGCTCAGAGCAGATTTTAAATCTAAGCAAAAGGGAAAGACAGATATATGTTCAAATCAAGATAGACCTTAGCAGCTTGAAAATGCCATATTCCCTGAAGAATGAAATGGTTAGAGTATAAGAAAAAAAGACCCCTTGTAAGTTTGTCACTAATCATGTGAAGATTGGTTAGAACTTGTTTTGTTACATTTTTCAAGCACATTTAGCGTGGACACATATAGAACTATCACAGTATAATTGACATATCTCCTAACGCTCACTAAAAGCCTTTAAAAAAAAAAAGGCACAAACACATTAGATATTAAATCAATTTTCTCAACAATGATGGTATGAAGTATTATGTTCAGTCATTTTGACAGTTCTCCACATTTCTATTAAGGTGTGGAAGGACACAACAACATATGCAGTCTTACAGAAACAGGTATATATGTACAGACACACTCGCATCCCAATGTATGAAAGCACCCGTTGAGCATAAAGCCGACACAGGCAGCTGAAGATTTGTTTGGAATTCCTTTACTTCCAAAAACTGGAAAGAAAGATGATACCATGTATCTCAACCCTCTAATTCACTTGCAATGGGAAGTCACAATGAGTTACCAAAATTTAATCATTCAATACAGCAAACCATGAAAAACCTACTTAGATAATAGAAAAGGTCAGTGTAGGTTGCAACTGCATGCTGTAACTGCAGTTCTCACTCCTCGCCAAGATGTCAGTAAAACACAGCAATAAACTTATCAGAGACACAGCTATCATTTTCACATACCCTACTCGTCCCTGGACTCAACTCTTTAATGGAGTTAAGCCAGCCAGAAAATGGATCTGAGCACAAACATTCATATCACCCTCTTCCAGTCTTTTCCTGAGAAAGTGGTAGCAGCAGGGGCTGGAAGTCTCTGAGCATTTTGTTTATTCTGTTAATTTATTCTTCATTGCCACATCCTATACCTGTAAGTTATTTCTAAGCTAGTGATAAATCCTACTGGGAAAGAATTAGGTCAGAATTCTAATTCCTTATTAAAATGGAAGGCTTATTTATCACATTTCTCTATTTTCTTATGCTTATAAATACATTCCACTTTCGTAGTTCAGTGTGCTGGGTGTGTGTAGGAGTATTTGTTATGAGTAAACTATCTGCTTACATACACTATTTGTAAATAGTATCTATCACAGTCCATTTTATCATCTACTCACTGCTTATCCTCATTTCTTTAGCAATTGTTCTTTCAAGCCTTTTCCAAGTCTTATTTTTCACTAGATATATAGCATAACATCTTAAAAGCAAGCAAACACTCTGACATGAAGATTCATGTGGCACTGGCACAGCTGAAGCTTTATGGGGAGCACACACCCCTTCAGTTTCCAGGGCTTGCTTGTACTCTAAAGTCAATGTAGAAATCTTAGGATTGCATATGACGTAACAGGGACTAGGAAACTAGACTAGGCAGGAAAATGCAGTCTTATTACTGAGCTACATTAAAGCTAGATACAGTTTTAGATAGAGCTGGAAACTGCTGACAAAAAGATTTATCTTAGCAAATGTTGACTCATCGAAACTACATTAATTGCTTTGGGAAATGGAAGAATAGCAATATTTCTCTGTGAAATTCACGCAAATTCATTTTCAAATTCAAGATAATTTGTGCTTAATCTCTCTCTCAATATTAAGTGACTATACTGCTCACTGGAAAGAACAAAGGCTTTGCTAAATATAAAAAAACTATTTCAGCTGCTTTATCAAAATTGTAAGTCATCTAAAGCAAAAGCTGATCTAACACTAGGGGGTTTTTTTTCCCAGACTTGCACAGATTAAAGAAGAGAATAGGAGAATCTTATTAATGACTGCAATAGATTTACTTTATCATTGCCAAGCCTACTGCATCTGAGACCAACTGGCTAAAAAAGTTTGCATGACAGGTCTGTAGGAACAGTTACATGATCCCTGCTCCATTTTACTAAGAGGACAGAGGACATAATTTTATTAGTCTTTGTACAACAATTTCCAAGCTTGTCCTAAGCATTCTGGGTTAACTCACCAGCTCCTTTTAAACCCACTGTTCTGCAATGTTTTCAAAATAAAAGCCTACAGCACCAAAATTATGACCATCTATCTTTACATGACTAGTTTGTGAAATAAAGCTGCCTTCTATCTTATCTTGCCTGACCAAAAAAAACCCACAAAAAAGATCTGTAAAGCCTCACTGCCCAGAAAAAAAAAAAAAAAAAAAAAGGCAAAGCAGCAACAAAACAGCAACAAAGTATACTGTTACTTAAAATAACCCAACCCAACACATGCAAGAGAAAAAAGCATTCAAGTAAATTACAATATTGGCACAAAAAAAAAAAAAAAAAAAATTACTTTGAATAGGCTGTAAACAAAACCAGGTGGAAAGTTAGATTGTGCCTAACTATCAGAAGAGTGAGATTTCAGTCTTTCAATGGAGAAGAAAGGCAGGAAAGCCTGTCTAGTTCTAATGTAAAACTGACCGATGTATGAAAGATACTGCAATCATTCTTTTGATAGCAAGAGTTCATAACTGAACACTCAAGGCATTTAAGTTCCTACCTCATTATTACAACATAACTCCAAGAAAAAGTGGTAAGCATGGAGATAGATTTGGGCAAATTGACAAAAAAATCTGGAGAGCTCTGAAGGTACTTACCATGTGAAAACCTGATAAGATTGGCTATGCTTTGAATGTTCCAACTTAAAAGTGATAGAATTGTGTTCATAATGACGAAGTTATGTTCATCATAATCTAACCAACCACATTTTCACGAACACTTGAGGCTAAATCCAAAATCCATTTTTGACAAAAGTGGACATGCAAACTGCAAAGGAGAATCAAGTGTTTATGAGAACTGCTACACCCACAAGTCTCCATGATAGCACACAAAGCACGACTTTGGATATTGCTTCTAATATCGCTGAGAAACACTGATAAAAATAAGCACACTAATAAAACAGGGAAAAGCAATATAAACCCAAAAACAACAGGCAGTAATAGATTTTAGCCTGTTTGTCAGATAACTCTTATTCAATACTCTTCCTTCTCAAAAGCGACTTCTTAACTTCCCATCCAATTTCTCTCACCATATCTAAGTGAGGATCTTTCTCATCGCCCCAAATATAAGGATTTTACCAGAAGTTTAGGAAGTTTATTTAAACCTGCTCAAACCTGTTTCAAGCACTTTGCTTTATTTTACAGAGACGTGATTCCTTTCCACTCTGCAGCCACCAACAACAGTTACAGGAAAAGATAACCAGCCTCACTCTTACCATTACTTAAAGTAATTTCAAAGGTTTCTCTTCACAGAACGGTTGTTTCCATCTATTTATTGCTTTTGGTGAAATGATTCTGGATAGCCACCTTCCTCCTCTGCATATAAATGTCTGTATTCACTTTGCAGCCAGCCAGCCAGTGACCCACACAACATCACATCACAAATTTAAAGTTTTTCATAAATAAACCTGGAATATAACTTTTAGTACTTAATAATCTTCAAAGTCTAATACAGGTTCTTTAATCATTAACTGCCTTCTCATTTTAATTTCCAATTTGCTGCTGATAAGAATGTTCCTCACAGAATTCTTCCAATTGTTTCAGTAGATGGTTTTTCTACATGTTCCTCATACCCAGCTTCACCCAGCAAAAAATTTAAAAAAAAATATTAAAAATTAAATTGGTCACTGTGTGTGAAATCAGCAGTTAATGTTCAATACATGGGCTTTTGAAAGCCTAACGCACTACCTTGGTGATTATCGATATCATTGTATTCTTCTGTACATTTCATACTCATGAGGACTAGGGGTGAGGAAACAGTGACCATCTTCTAGATCTTTGTAATCATCAGCTTATCACAAAGAAGTCCGCACTTCACGTCCTTTTCTTGGACATTTGCAAAATTTAATCTTATTTTTTAAACAACCTTCAAAATGCTAGATGTCTCATGCCTTTCTTCAGAATTAAATCATTTGAAAACAGAAGTAATTCATAGAAAAGCACAACAGATTGATCCTGCCTTGCTACGAATTTTTGTCAAACAAGGCAATCTTTTAGGCAATACTTCTAGTTAAAATAAACAAAATGTAGTTGTTTAAAATAACCAGATAGTTTCATACTATTACTACAGCCCCATGGCTACTCCTAGCGTAAATATATATATGCCTGTCCTCTTACACAAAAACACTAAAGTTCCTTTCACAGAAAATATAGATTTCATTTCAAAACATTAATCTCTATAAAAGTCTTTAAAGAATTTCAGGACTCTATAGATTTTACTAAGAAAACTAATTAAAACAGCAACTGAACTTTCTGTGAATGCTTAAATTTTTTCTCAAAAAAGGCACATTGCGCCTGCACCTCCTGTTGGCTTGAGATAACATCAGAAATTGTCCATCCCTCTGAGAGACCTGACATGGGCAATCTAGAAAAGCCACTACATCTTGAGCGAAGGATCTTCCTCAGTGTGAGTAAGAAAACAAATCTTGAATGATTAAGCTAGTGATAACAGTACTTTGAGCTTCCCAGGTTCTTTATCCTGGACCGGCAGTAGTACAGTCTGTCTTCCAGCACCAGCCTGCCTCTTGATTTGCAGTTCACTTCACAGAATGTGCCTAGAAGATGCCATCAGTGAAATATGCTCATTGCTGCAAAATGAATCTAAAATGCTATACATTTAATATTCTTTATTTTAATATATTTAATTCCTCCATAGCACTAAACTGAGTAATTATGAATTCACTATCTAATTGAATGTACATACTGCAATGCTGTTAGTGTCACAGGAAATGTATTTTCTTCCACAGCTGTCTCTCTGAATCACAACATTGCTATAAAGGCACTATTTTCTTGTAGAAT